AGGCTATTAAAATATCCACCCCTTTCTCAATTACTTATCTGTATGAGACCAGATTTTCTTTACATACTTCAACCAAAACATTTATTTAAACCTTCTTTTCTCTTTGAAATGTTTTATAGTTTTCAGTGTAGAGGTCTTGAACATAATTTTTCAATTCGAATATAGTTAACCTACAGTATTATGTTAGTTTTGGGTGTACAATACAGTGACTCAACAGTTCTATACATTTCTCAGTGCTCATCATGATAAGTGTGCTTAATCCCCTTCATCTACCTCAGCCGTCCACCACTCACCTCTCCTCTGGCGACCACCAGTTTGTTCTCTGTATTTAAGTCTGTTTTTGGTTTGTCTTTTTTTTTTTTTTCTCTTCCTTTGTCTTGTTTCTTAAATTCTACATATGAGTGAGATCATGTTATTTGTCTCTCTCTGACTGACTTATTTCACTTAGCATTATACCCTCTAGGTCCACCCATGTTGTTGCAAGTGGCAAGATTTCATATTTTATGGCTGAGTTATATTTCATCGTATATACATCACCTCTTCTTTATCCATTCTTCGGTCAATGGACACTCGGGTTGCCTCCATAGTTTGGCTATCGTAAATAATGCTGCAATAAACATAGCGGTGCATGTATCCTTTTGAATTAGTATTTTCATTTTCTTTGGGTAATTACTAGATCATATGGTAGTTCTTTTTTTAATTGAGGAAGCTCCGTAATATTTTCATAGTGGCTGCGCCAATTTGCATTCGTACCAACATGCACGAGGGTTCCCCTCTCTCCACATCCTCACCAACACCTGTTGTTTCTTGTGTTTTTTTTTATTTTAGCTATTCTGACAGGTGTGAGGTGATACCTCATTGTGGTTTCGATTTGCATTTCCTTGAGTGATGATGATCTTTTCATGTGTCTGTTGGCCAGTTGCCCAGCTGTATGTTTTCTTTGAAAAATGTCTATTCAGGTCCTCTGCCATTTTTGGATTATTTTTGTTTTTGTTTTGGGTGTTGAGTTGTATAAGTTCTTTATATATTTTGGATACTAATCCCTTATCAGTTGCAAATATCCTCTCCCATTCAGCAGGCTGCCTTTTTGTTTTGTGGTGGCTTCCTTTGCTGTGCTAAAGTTTGTTATTTTGGTGTAATCCTAATCGTTTAATGTTGCTTTTGTTTCCCTTGCTTGAGGAGACATACCGAGAAAAATGTTTCTATGGCCGTTGTCAAAGAAATTACTGCCTTTGTTTTCTTCTATGAGTTTTATGTTTTCAGGCCTCACATTTAGGTCTTTAATCCATTTGAGTTCATTTTTGTGTGTGCTCTAAGAAAGTGGTCCAGTTTCATTCTTTTGCATGTAGGTGTCCAGTTTTCCCAACACCATTTTTAAAAAAAGATTTTATTTATTTGAGAGAGAGAGAGCATGAGCAGGGGGAGGGACAGAGGGAGAAGCAGACTCCCCGCTGAGCACAGAGTTCGATGTGGGACTCGATCCCCTGGTTAAGGCAGACGCTTAACCAACTGCACCATCCAGGTGTCCCCTCCCCCAACACCGTTGTTTGAAGAGACTTTTTCCCATTGTATATTCTTGCCTCCTCTGTTATAGATAACATAAGCATGGGCTCCACTTCTGGGTTCTCTATACTGTTCCATTGATTTGTGTCTATTTTTTTTTTTTTAAAGATTTTATTTATTTATTTGACAGAGAGAGACACAGCAGAAGAGGGAACACAAGCAGGGGGAGTGGGAGAGGGAGAAGCAGGGCTCCCGCGGAGCAGGGAGCCCGATGTGGGGCTCGACCCAGGACCCTGGGATCATGACCTGAGCCGAAGGCAGACGCTTAACGACTGAGCCACCCAGGCGCCCGATTTGTGTCTATTTTTGTGCCGGTACCGTACTGTTTTGATGACTACAGCTTTGTAGTATACCTTGAAATTTGGGATTGTGATACTTTCAGCTTTGTTCTTCTTTTTCAAGATTGCTTTGGCGACTTGAAGTCTTTTCTGGTTCCATACAAATTTTAGTATTATTTGTTCTAGTTCTGTGAAAAATGCTGTTAGTATTTTGATAGGGACTGCATTAAATCTATAGGTTGTTTTCAGTAGTATGGGCATTTTAACAGTATTTGTTCTTCTGATCCACATGCATGGGGTATCTTTCCATTTGCTTGTGTTGTCTTCAATTTCTTTCACCACCGTTTTATAGTTTTCAGAGTAAAGAGCTTTCCTCTCCTTGGTTAGGTTTATTCCTAGGCACTTTATTATTTTTGGTGTAATTGTAAATGGGATTATTTTCGTAATTTCTCTTTTTGCTACCTCAATAGTGTAAAAGAAATGCAACAGATTTCTGCACATTAATTTTGTATCCTGCAACTTTACTGAATTCATTCATCATTTCTAATAGTTTCTGGTGGAGTCTTTAGGGTTTTCTCTGTGCAGTATCATTGTCATCTGCAAATAGATTTTCTCAACCAAAACGTCTAAACCTTCTTTCTCTCTGAAATGCTTTAGTTTTCAGTGTAGAGGTTTTGAACATCTTTTAAGGTATACTCCTAGGTATTTTATGGTTTTGGTGTTACTGTCAATGGGCTTTTTAAAGTTTAATTTTCCAATTGTTTGCCATTACTATTTAAGTATACAAGCACCTAAAAGGGTCTTCAGGCCAAAAAAGTTAAGAACCAGTAAACTATTATAATAGTTTAGGATGCACTTAATTTTGGTAAGATATGCAGAGCAAAATTTCAGCTTATTCTTGGGTCAGTGTTAAAATGATGTCCACATGTTTTTAAAGTACTAGAACTTTTTCTTTTTCAAGCCCTAAGTACAAAAATCTTCCCCAAATATATACAAAGTAGAACAATGAAACTTCACGTACCCAGTGTCAACATCAGCTCACACTCAATCTTGCCTGAGCTTTGTTCTGTCCACTCTAACACTCCTGTGTCATTTTGAAGCAAATTCCAGGCATGACAGAACTCTGTAACAATTTCCTTATAATCTCTAAACGGGAACTTCATGTGCTCACCTCAATGCCTTTGAGCAAGACAAGCAAACTGCATCCATCACCATTGCATGGGGCTGTTGCTCTCCTCTAGATTCTGTATGGTAGGTTTACCCCGAGAAGCAGTCATAGTCTGTCCAACAATTCCCAAGACTAAACGAATGGTCGATCCTTAGTTCATCTTAAGAGATTCACTTAATGTTTTCCAGCAAATATTAACTCACTATGCAGTCTCTGAAATGCTAGTCCAAGCAGGGGATGGCACGGTTTCACCTCTCCTGCAGACTCAGAGCAACCTGGGCGGCTTCTCAGAGCAGCTGTTCAGAAGGGCGGCTGGGGCCATCTGGGCTCAGAGTCGATTACTGATGCCTGTTGTGGGCACGGGATTAGGCAGCAGTGCCTCTGTTCTCAGCCTCCAGTAATTTCTGTGACACTGCCAAAGCCTAATGCCCCCTCACTTTGGTCTGCTAAGTTTTACAATATTATGTGTAAAGAAACCAGTGTTTTAAATAACATATATAGGCATGCCAGAGAGATTATTTTGTTGGCATTTACTAACTATAATTTATAGTTTTAAAAGGCTTACATTCATAAATGTCTGCTGGCCCAACGTTTTGTAAATTATGGTTGTTGTCTTTTATGAAAATAAGCATGCAGGGACAATACTGTTAGCTGAGAGCAACTGATAACCCCCAAGAGAGCTCCAGGGAGATGAAGCATCTGTAAGACTAAAGTATACATACTAACAAAAGTGGCCAGAAATTACATGGGCAGGATCAGAGGAGCAAAGAAAAATCTTACAAGCAAAATAAAAGGCAAACTTGTCCCTCCCTGTCTGCTGTGCGGACATCCACCACTCCTCACATCCTGGAAAGACAGCACACGCCAGGCAAGGATCGAGTGTGAGAGTTTTTTATTCAATTTGTAAAGTACAGTTTAAAAACAAGATGTTAGTAACACTCTTAGAACATTGGCTTGTTCATCTGACATTTTCTCTGTCTTCACCAATTTTTATTACAAAAATCAGAAAAGTAAAAATTCATTACAATATTTGCACAGTGTGACCACTAGCTGCTTAAACAAAAGCTAATTTCTATAAAACCATAAACTTAGTGCAGTTTTATTAAGAGAGATCCAAAATTCTCTCAGTGGACTGGATATACATAGTGGTACATATTTTAAAGCAGAAAACCCCCAAAAACAAAAACAACGAAAAAAGAAAATACAAGTCAAAATAGTCAGTTAAATATTCCGACCTGACAGTTCCACTACATATAAAGAAAACTGTTATCTGTGGTAAAAACTGTAGAGACAAAGCAAGAAATGTGGAATAAAATCACAAGAGAGGTCAGAAGTAGTCCCAGGCCGCAGGTGTTTCCAGTGAAACCCGGGGCAGGGAGTTACACCGCTGAAGAAGGGGCCCCTTCCATCCCCAAGTCACCACGTGTGCCTGTAAGCGAGACCCCACCACATGGCAAGTTGCAAAGTTTCAGTGAAAAGACTTTGAAAAAGACGAATGTTCTTTTCTTCAAGAAATCTTTGTAAGGCTGTACTTTGCATAGGGAAAGAGCGGTCTTCGGTCATAAATTCTACAGGAAAGAATAAAAGCAAGCTTTTCAAAATGACTATGTGCAAGGAGTTGAGTCACCAGGCACCTCATCTACTGCCTCTCATTTACCCTGACCTGATGTAATTTTACTCGACAAGAGGAAAGACGGTGTTTTGTGGTGATGGTGTTCAAAGGAAAACATTGAGGCTGGCAGCAGAGAAATCAAATTCTGAAAGAGGCTCGCCACCCCACGGAACAAACACCTGGGCGCTAAATCAGCCTTACTCGTGCATACAATAGGACTCACGAGGAACTTTTCAAATAAAAGCTTACTTTTTCAGAAAGCTGAAGTATAAAAAAATAGTACAAGTCGTGGCATTCCCTCCAATGGATGCTATGTGAGTATTCTGAGTTGGCTACTAGGAGGGACGGGTACGTCCAGATACAGTCAGGCCGCTGGTCTCTACGAGCCGTGGTAGAGGTGCATGGCCCCCAGGGCGGCACCGCCGTGTCTCTCTTCCCCCTTCGCGGAGTTGGGGTGCTCCGCCACGCTATTAAGCTCGGGGATGCTTTCAGCAGTGTCCCCAAACCCATGGTAATGCCCGTAGTGCAGATTCTCCTCAATGTCCTCCACCCAGGAAGGTCTATTAGCTACGCAGCTACTCGGACTCCCATTCAGGTGCAGAGAGCCACACATCTCCGCATTAACGCTCATGGTCTTTTCTGGGTCCTCAGTCCCATTAACACAAACAGAACCCTGGCTACTTGGAAAAGGCCGTCCTCGAACTAATCCATTGCTAATTCCATTAGATCCTGATAAGCACTGGTCATTCCTGCTCTCCATCCCATTGAGCTGTGTCGTGGAGGGGAAGTCCAAATGTCCATTGATGACACATCCATTTGTCAATGTATCCGACACGGGGCTACTGTTTTTCATATCTGCATTAAGAAATACACCTGTCACCAAAATTCAGAACCACAGGGGGAGGAGAAACTAAAAATGTTTCATTGCTGCTACAATTTTAAAGGATTTATTTAGCTGCTTTTTTTTTTTTTTCCTTTTAAACAAACCAGTTCCTTTTCTGGAAGTAAAAAACTGTGCATAGGCAGATTTAAAAATAGAACCCACAGCAGCATTTGACCGGTAAGACAGGAAACATCTATGACTTTCAGCAGCACTGAGTGGCTGAGTGTAAACACCTAAGCTGACAAACACGCGGCATGAAAAATACCAACGGTCCCGAAAAGCTGTCAAAAAAACCCAAAAATCAAAAAACTGTTCTCCTTTTAAGACTACTTTCAGGAAGAAGTTTTAAAAATCACCCATGAAAAAGTCCAGCAGAACGAAGTGTGAGGTTTTCCACAGAGTTAAAATAAAACCCCACACCTCTCCAGCTCTTAAGAAAAGGGAAAAAGAAAGGCGGCCGCCGAAGCAGGGGCCTGGGGGAGCTCCTGGGACCAGGCGAGACAGCCCCACAAGAGCTCCGGGGAGGGGGGTGGGGGGAGCGCGGTGGCCCGCCCTCAGGCCAGGTGCAGGGACGCAGGAGTTCAAACCTTAGCGACACTCGCATCCACGTGGCACTTCTGCGACTCGGCCCGCGGCAGTGGCCGGCGGGAGAACGGGCACTAAGCGCAACAGCACGAGCTCTGGGAGGGTCTTCCGAGTTCACCAGTAAAGTGACTACGATGTCCGAGGCTTCACCTAATTAGGCTACTTTAAAAAATCACTTAGGTTGGAAAAATGTTGCTTGCTTAATCTGCATATGTAGACATCCATCAAGAGGAGGATGTCTTACGGGGGGGTCAAAAGAGTCAATCACAACACACTCGGGCCCACGGGGAAACTCAGGATTCAATATTCACGTTCACAGGAATTCACAGAACAGTACAAAGGATGATCGCAAATCATGTCTTGCTTGGTAATGTGAAATTTTATCTCAATGTTCTGCGCTGTTAAAGCAAGGTATGATATTAAATACACAAGAGCGGAGTCCCACGACCGTTGGAACGAGGACACGTTTCCGGACCCCCAATCACCCTGACACACAGCGTGGCACTCCCCCGGAAGGGCTTACTTTCCGCGTCACCATCTATGTGCCTCTGATTTGCACTTGGACATAGGTTTCTGTGTGTCCCGCAAATCTTCCTGCCAACAAAAAATCATGGCTTGTTCAATGAACAAAAACACCTTCTACACATTCCATTATTCATCCATTTTTCTGGCAATTTAAGTGATAATCATAGTTTAATAACTACTATAAATTCTTCAGAGGATAAGGGATTATTTTTTTTCAAATTGAAGGACAGCTCTTCTATTTAGTTAAAACTCAAGGCTAGAGAACAAGTATTTCAAGAACCGAACATGAAGTAGAACAGAAATAAAATAAGCTATTCCCAGAGAAACACTTTTATCAATTTTCTTAAAAAAATAAAGTATGCACAGTGTTTTCTGGGTGGTAAAATTCATGACTATGATGGCGACCTTGACAGTTATTAAGATGAATAACTGTGTACTAGTAACAGATACGGAAACGACTTTCCCAGAGGCCTGGACCTGAAAAGGTCCGGGAGCACCACCTCAGAAACCGGCGTTGCCTAGACTCACTGTTTTCATTTTGCGTTTTCCGTGTGCACACGTGTGCGCGTGCTTTAGTGCCCAGGGGGTGTCAACGAGGCCGTTACGCAATCTCAAAGTCAAGGCTAGTTGACAACCTCATGTCGTTATGGAAAATCTAATAAAACTGAGCATGAGAACGGCAGGTATCCTAGAGACTGGCTAATTTGTGACCCCGCCTGGCCGCCTCCAACACTGCCCTCACTCCTTACTCCCGCACCCCTCAGGGCCTGCACTCCCACCCACCACCTGCCCACCCGCTGCACGGGCCCCAGGAGTTTAGCGCATTTTGTGCACGCAGGAGGACGTGTGTTGTACGTGAAGTGACAGGAAGCATGGCACCTGTTACACAGGATGAGCTGAGCTCAAACTAAAGCAACGCCCCAGCTCTCTATTAAATTTGGCCTGAAAATGCAGGGAATTAATGCTTGAAGATTAAAGAGTGATTCCTTCTGCCTTTTTAATAGCAGGTAGCAATGTCGTTTGTTTTGAAAAGCTTTGAGTTTTGTTATTTGTCTTTAGCCAGGGTCCTTAAGTATATTATCCAATCAGAATTTTCCTTAGAAAATCAACCCATTTAATTATTTGGCAAGAAGGCAACTCCACCTGTAACAACCCTGCAGCGTCTAGAAAGATGTACTCATTTGCCTTTCATTTTAGTAAATAGAAATGATTTTCTCATGTATGTCTGGGAAGCATATCGCATAATCTTTTACCCCAGTGAAGAATTTAGGATAGAGACATAATAAAACCTTAAAAAAACCAGTATCTCTTTCTACATATATTAACACAGTAAGAAAATGGCTAAGATGTTTTCACGGTCACCTGAAGAAAAGAATGGCAGAGAGAAGTGTTAACTCAAAGGAAAAGGCTTCAGAGATTCTAAATGCTGAAAGAACAACCTTTGACTTTTAAAAACTGAAAATGACTATCAACTGTTTGAAGATATTAACACTTTTAACATGTAAAACGTGTTTTGTGAGAAGCGGTGCTCAGCGTTTGGCTAGACTTGGAGTCCATGTCCCAGAAACCACAGCGACCGGCAGCGGCGAGCGGGGGGCTCCACGCTGGCGAGACCGGTCACAAGTCAAAAGCACAGCATCCACCTGTCCTCCGTGTCCACAGCAAGTCATCCTTCTCGCTGTGCCCCAGGCTGAAACTACTAGCAACAGATGTTTGCTTGGTGTAGTCACCCAAAGGTCACATGTCAGAAAAGTAAGCATGCGAAACCTCGTTGAAATTAAACAAGGCACGTTAAGCGGAAGCTTCAAACCAAAATAGAAGATTGCACTTAAACTTTTTGTATCTATAGAATGCACCCAAAACATTATCCTTGTATCTACAAACTTGCCCAAGATATGCAAACTCTAGTGTAACATTCTTTAAAACGCCGGACAACAAAGTGCAAACATCGGGAGAGAAACTCAGGTTAGAAATAATATGCATACTGGTTCTTGCAACGACAAGGGGTCTGCATTGCTGAAACAGTATATATTTCTATTTCTTTTGGTCCGACAGAACCACCCTCCTGCTGTTTGATGTCTTCGACCATGGGGCCGCCGCAGCTAACAGGGAACTGTCCACTCCCACCTGTTACAGCAGCAAGCTCTCTATCGACCAGCATCGTGTCAGCTTCGTCATCCGCGTCGCCATTCCCCAGCGGCCTGCAGGGACCCGAGCTCCGGGCTGCACAGAACACAAAGGCAATTTCAGATCCCTGCATCCACGAGCTTTTAAGACAACTACCTCCCACTCCCTTTTCCTCAAGAGCACTGAGGGCTCCAAAAGTGTCAAAACAACTTAATAATCTACAGATTACCAAGGAGCCTAGTGTATATTACCGGGAAACTTACTTTTCCACAGTAAAAAAATACTTCCCGATGTGTGCCACTTCAATGAAAAGTCACGGGATTTCGGACATTTACTCTCTATATACTCAATGGCACAAATTCTCCTTTATGGCTGTTACGTGGACAAAATAAAGCAGTTATACAATCCAGAGATGTTTCTAAATACGTTTAGTGTACTCTGTATTATGCCCTCAAATGTTCCTTCAGTTGTTTTTGATAAAGAAATACGAAGACAATTTTTGAATAATAAAAACCATTAAAACTATCCTCAAATTAAAAAAAAATTCACTAATTTCAGAAGCAAAAAATAAGGTAAAAGCCAAGATTCAATACTGTCCTGGGGGCACAGTCCCGTGCACCAAATAACACTGGAAACAAACATTAAAGTCTTAGTTCCAAGATCTTTGGAGCTGAAGTTATGTATGCACATTCCTCAAAAAAGGATCATTCTCTGGATCTTGGAGAAAAACGAACATGCACATTTAATCACGTCTCCTGCAAGAATGGCATTCACCGTATGGAAACACTCCCCCAGTGCACCTTCCCAGGGAACCCCGCCTTCTCCCAGCAACCACTCCCACTCGACACATGGCTTTCTAGTCTCAGCAAGCATGTGCTGTTACAGAAACGGACCCCCAAAATCACTTTTATGCCTTGCTTTTCTTCATTTACCATGGCATGAACGCAGCTCATCAGCGAAGTTCAAAAGAACCTTTTTAAAGTCAAATAATAATCTGCTGTAGGGCTGCATTATAACTCACCCCCTGCCCCAACTCCCCGCCGCTGGCTGGCTTTCCTATCATGAATACCACAATCAACATGCTTATCAACGCACCTCTGTGTGTATTTCTGGTTCTTTACTCAGATAAACACTGAGAATTATTTCTGGGTCAAAGGATATATACAACAACTTTCGGTGCTAAATCTTTCCAATAAACATTTAAAAACAGACATGAACCCTGCAGCTTTAATTACTTCTAATTTTGGAGGCACGAAGCATTTTTGATACATGTAAAAGGAACAAGCGTACCAGTTCCAGAGCATCACGAACCCTAACCCAAACCGTTGAGACCAAAGATGATCACGTATGGTCTTCATGACAGAGAAGCACAAGTTCTGAATGACGAGCACGTGGGAGAAACGGCAACAGAACAGTGTGATTTGTGTAGCTGGTCTGCACACGTACAAGGCCAAAAGCACTCGACAAGACAGGTGCTTTTAAGCCAGAGGCGTTAAGCCATGGATTTCCGTTTTTCCCACTCAAGGCTTTTCTTATTCCTCCTCAGGCCCCACATCAGCGACAGGCAAGTGCGATCTTCCCCGTCAAACAGGTACTTTCAACAATTCCGTGGCAAACAGTCCGCCTTAACGAGGGGGGTGGGGGGTGCGGCACCCAGGTGCCCGCAGAGCAAGTGCTCAGGACCTTCAGGGAGACCTCAGCCAGTCATTTCAGAGACAAGGAGCCTGCAGTCGGCGTGGGGTCAGGCTCTGCTCCTTCCCATGCCCGGCAAGCCAGGCGGGGAATCAGGTGGTTGGCGGAGAACAGGCGCACGCTAGCGCGGCATAGCCACGGACGCCTCTGCGAACAGGGAGACTCCGCTGGGGTATGACATGGCTTTCGGTGTCTGTACACCTAAGACCTGCTTTCCAGGATTCAGGGGCCAGTGTTCCTCGGGAAGGTGACAACTAGGCTAAATGTGCAATTTCACATCTCTGAAAAGCAAAGCAGTTTATAAAAAAAACCTGACCGAGGACCGAACAAAAGGTGCTTCCTGAGAGCAGAGCTACGTGTCTTCTCGTCCCCTAAGCCCAGGGCCCAGAAGAGTGGCCATATCCGTGAATGAAGCCCACTCTCCAGTCTGAAAAGGCACAAACATAGAAAGCAAACAAAAACGATTAGTAACTGGAATGACCAGTAATAAAATTGGGATCATGGCCTCCAGAGAAGGCTGGCTATGAAGTGCTGTGGGACCCGGGGCTGACCTGCCACTAGGAGGCAGAGGAGTCTGGGGACATCCCAGGTCACACTAAGAGGAGGAGCCAGGGCACAGGGCCACTTTACCGGTCAATGACTCCCTTAGTGAGAGACCCACGCAGCGCACTAGGGGGCTACTCTGACTCTGCAACCTTTCCACGTCACAGGTGCACCGTTAATGCTGATGGTTCCTCATTTACAGAACAGGATGAAAATTAAACAGACCAAAAGCTCTCATATTTTAGTCATCAAGAAACTCTTTAATGTGGGAAGCATAAGCTAAAGCAGTCAGCCCAGAATTTTCTTTCTCTACAGGCAGGCAGTCTTTGTAATGCACTGCTGCCATAAAATACCTGCAAGGACTTTTAACTCCTCGGCCGATAATCCAGCTGTCCCAGAAACTTGGGTAATTCTAGCACCTGTAAATAGGACATGCTTAATTACCCAGATGGAGGTATTAAAGGTGCAATTTACTTTTTAAAACTATTTTATGAACCATGAGATTAACACTGGCCTTTCAGAATTGTAAGAACATTGGATCCAAGTCGACTCCTTACTCCCACATACCCATCCGTCTTTGCCAAAGGAAGCACTGGAAACATTCCACATTGCGTTGGAGAAAAGCAGTCTTATACACAGAAAACGAAATGTCTTCTTTCCAAGTTATCGATTCTGATCCATTTTACACTTTGGAGAAGGACCTTCCCTTCCCATCTTCCTGCTGACTTCCATAGTTAAAAGGAAAAATCACTAAACATTTTGTAAAAAAATGTCCTTATCTTTTACTTGGCCAAAGTAGGCATTTGAGGAGACAAGATTCTAGCACTAGTTAGAGGCTGAATATTTATGATAGAAAACTGCCTAGGATTGGCTCAAAATAAACCCTCCCAGCTTCCTTCCTGCAGAAGCAACTTTGCAACCAAGTGTGACTGACCACTGTCCAAACACAGAAATCTGCATTTGTGCTTCCATTGGAGATCACTAAAACCAGTTCTTAGCAAAATTCTAAAGCTACACATTTATTTTATGACCAAGCAGTTTGAAAACATGGGGAGGGCATTACTCGGTTCTTGGAAGCCAGGGAGCATCTGATGCGTTACAGGAGGGCACCGTCAGGAAGCTTATTTCTGTGCTGGCTCCGTATGGCCGGGAAGGTGCACAAGCAGAACAAAAACAAGTTATTTTTTATTTTTTTAAAGTGAGCTCTATGCCTAACGTGGGGCTTGAACTCATGACCCTGAGATCAAGAATCAGAGACTCCGACTGAGCCAGCCAGGCGCCCCTCCCCCAGAAAGTACCTGGGCCACAATGAAGGCGGTTCTACTACAGGGGACCTTTCAGACTCTAGCTCCTGCCACGGCCCCAGCCCCAGGTGCAGCACTGAGTTCTGGAAACTCTACGGAGGGCCTGGGGTTTGTGAAAAGGACACGGAAGGGAAGGTGCCCGGGACGGCTGACTCCCGCCACAGCCACTACACCGCTGAGAACAGACGAGGCTCGAGGCAACGGTGCAAATCACAGAAAGCGCTTGGCTCTCAAGTGTCACTCACTCAGATCATATTTACAAGATGCCAAGTCTTCAGGGATTAAGACAAAATGATCATTTGTTATTCCAACAGTGTTCTCTTGCTCTGGTCAAATATTTAAAAAGCTGTCATTGACTGTGTCATGTGCACGTCTCTAACGTATGGGATCAAACTAGAAGGAACTACAGTTTTAATTGGGGAGGTAAGGGATTTCCTGAGTCTCAGGCTCTAATTACTCAGATGTATCACTTCACAGAAATCACATCCACTCTCCCTTCCCCCGAGTCTTTACGTGTGGTCAAGACGAATAATGAAGACCAGAAAGTGGAGATTCTTTAATGTGAAGTTCATCCAGGGGAAAAGTGTGCTGAGAAACTTCTCACTGCTAATTTTAAATGGAGTCACAATGCCGTAGTTTTCCTAAAAGGTTTTTTTTATGAATTAAATACCTATACGTTATGTATGAAATTCTAAGATCAATAATATACCCATTTGAATTAAAAACAAAACCGCGAAGTCAATTTAACAAGAGATCTGGTATCAACACAGCCTCCTTCCTTTGGCAACTGTTTGCAATTACCAAACCCTAGGCTACTGGCTCAGTCTGTAACTCACACTGCTTCTCCCCACTCCAGACTCGGGATCTGCACCCCAAACAATTTTGATTAAGACAAGAACAAAGTCTCTCTCACGATGGGACGGGCATTCTTTCCTAACCAGTCTCCCCAGTAATCTGGACGGGGTTCCAAGGAAAACACACACACACACACACGTAACTACTGTTATTCCTGAGGGTTAACAGAAACATGAACAGAACCGTTATGGAGCAGCTGTTACTGAAGGACAGCTGTCATCCACCTGGAGCCAACGGTTGATAAAAACCAGGGGAAAACACCTCAAAACCCACTTATATACTGGTGCTTCCTTGTGCTACCCCGAGTGAAAAAACCCCGTTTTATGCCAAAATACTTTTAGTCAAAATCAACCACTGAAGTGACTTTGGACTTTACACTCTAGTTCACGGCCCCATGGACTACGTCTGCGCTCTGAACAGAGCAGATGGGGTCCTGGCGTGAATGGTGGGGCGAGAGGGTGTTTTCAGGACTACATCCAAAGCACAGCGTATGGTCAAGCGGCACGGAAAGGATGTGTTATTAATCCTTCAAGTTCTTTTCCATCCAAGTTTCCAAGGGAAAATCACGCCAGTTACCTTAAAATATCTGAAAATAGTTTACTGAGAGCGGAGAGGCTACTTTCTGTGGAGTAGGGGATTTTCAGTCTCAGGATTCCAAAGTAAAAAAAAAAGGAAAAAAGTTAAAAAATTTCACAAGGCACACTTTTAAAAAGTTGGCTTAGCCAGAAAAACTTTTGGAAATAACTGCTTTTATGAACATAAATTCCACACTAAAAACACGAGTGTGTGTGATTCTTAAGTTGTAGAAAGACTGGACTGAGTTTCGTTAATAAGGTCCAAGCTACGCATTCATACAGCCTGGATAGCATTCCTGGCACCTAAAAAAAAAAAAAAGCCTAACTTGTACTGGGGGAAGAAAGAAGGGAGACAGACATTTTTAAACTCTTTTAAATATGTTTACATGTGAAGTTATTCAAAAGTACTTTATATGCATATATTACATAAGGAAAAAAATACTTATTTTTACTCTAGTGTGAGAACCAAAAACTTATCCACAAAATGAATAATTCAGAATGAGCAAAACTTTAAGCTCCCACATTTAAATAGCAAATCAAAATGAGATGCCAGAGATTAAGTGAAAATGAACTACAGCAACACATCTTGAATTGCATACTAGAACCCCATCCTAGAGGGGCAGTTAACTGTGCAGGCAAACACAACTTCTTTCAGAAAACCCAGGTAGCTGGGGAAAAATCATTAGACTTACGCCCCAACCCCCACTCACAGCGAGCGTGTAATGATAAAATGAAAGCTATTACCTCCGCTTTCCCCCCGAGAAAAGAGCCATGAAGGCACCTGTCCGTGCTCACAGACATGGACACACACACACACACACGCTCAGTGACATGTGGGACACTGCCTGGGACCAGCGCGGCCTGGGGCATGGGAGTGAGGACGGTCTGGCTCAGTGCATCCTGTGTCGAGGCCAGATTTCTCCCGCGGTGGTGACAGAACGGGACCAGGGCAGGTGTGTGGAGCAGAGCCCAGCCTTGGGGCTATACGACTCAAACACCAGGCTCCAGCTGCATCTTCTTCTGACCTGGTGCCTGGGGTTAAGCAGCGGGAATGGGCAGTTCGGGAAAGCTGCTCAGGGAGTTTCGTGGGCAAAACAACGTGAATCTCTTACCCTGGTCAACCAAAGTGAATCCTTGTCTGGAGGAGGGAAATAAAATCCCCTCAACATCTATCTACCTGCATGATTCTTCAAACCCAGTCTGTGTAGTAACAAGGTTTAGGAAACTTAAATTCAAGTCTGAGGAATCCTCGGAATGTCTTTTCAGGATGCTTCAACAATGAGATACTGGCCGATCCAACAGGCCTGAACACCTTAGGAGACTAGTTTGAAAACCTCTTCGGTAAATGTCTGAGTCTTGTTAGAATGTTCAGTGACATCCTTCTTACCCTCCTACATAGAATTTAAGATTTATGCTATAAACCAACACATGTGGACATGGACACATACAGGACTCTTGCCTGAGGGCATAATGAAGCTGACACTTCACATCATTCCAAAATATTAAACCAGGCATTAAGCGGACAAAAAAGACTATTTTTAAAAAGTGGATGCTCTTAAAGGGCTTTTAAAATACGTTAGAAAAAATATATTGGAACATGGTACAAATAAATGACAACACTGAACAATACGTCACCATTAAAAACACCACTTGTGAGGTTTAGACACACCTTCATGTTGTTTGTGCTTATGATCATTCTAGCACCTTTAGAGAATTAGGTAATATATAAAAGTTACTAGTTTGGCAAACCATTACATTAAGTTCATACATTCATTTCCACAAAAAAGTCACAAGTTTTTATAGTCACTAAGTATTTAAAAGTAGGTAATACAATTTTATCAACTTTATAGTAAAAAAAAGAGCCCATTTTCATCTGGATGCCATCCAGTTAAACTGAGAATGTGTAGCAACTGGAGAGAGGATAATGTTGACCCACATGAAGTGTAGTTAGCTAAAACCTCCAGCCACTCAGGTTTTTCTCATACTTCACTTGTATAGCTTTTTTTTTTAATCGAAGGGTACAACTTTGTATTTATGCTCAGCTATCTCATCTGAGTTCATAATTTCAACGTGATTACTTTTCACTGCCATCTCTGAGTGTCCTTCTCTGTTTAAGTTTGTTAAATACTCTTGCCCAGCTATTAATCTGTCTTTAAGATATCTTATAGACAGGAATATACATATAGTTTTTTTTCCTAGATGAAGGGGAGGTGTTTTCATCTGACAGTGACTAGGTGACTCCGCTTCTTTGCAAACTCCGAAGTCGTCCGGAGACAGAGAGGTGGGAGAATACTTATAGCTAACTTACCTTACAGATGTAGCCTCACGTCGCCCTGACACCCCAGGTCTCACTGTGACACAGGCACCACACTGCGGGTGCGGAGACCAGCCGAGCCAAACCTCTCCCCGCCCAGACAGGAAACTGTGTTTGGCTACCAGACCAGCAATGTTATTCATAAGCTCGGGAACATTCACAGGAAACAAACAAAAAAATCAGGCACGGTGGCAGAGTTTTTTAATAGTTATATTTCAAACAGGTACAGGAAACGAGAAAAATCTTTCTAATTCGTGGCAGAAAACCCTGGGTGTGCAGAAAGTTATATACACGTTTCCATCTGAGCTGTCAACACCGCCCTCTTATCTGCTCCCCTTTTGTTAAAGGGCCAATCTTCCAAGGGGCCACACGGGGAAAGCACCGCCACCACTGCACCGGGCTCCTCCGGGCACAGGACCCTCAAGTGAAGGTCTCATCTTGAAGGTGCTTCCAGCCATAAAAAAGAGCACACGTTACAGAAAAGAGGAGCATCAGCCCCCTCCCGTCCACCAAGGGGGTCTCACCTTCGGTTCTAGCCTTCTTTACTCCAAAGGGCTCCGGATCTTCCAAGCATCTCTTGCGACTGGCTCCCGCACTAGTATGATTAGGGAATTGGCTCTGATGGCCCCCATTTACCGGGCCGTTATCATAGAAACGGCTCAGGTGACAATTCTGCAGGTTCAAGAGAAACTGGGTGCACTCTTGGAAACCCTGGGTTTGAGCAATGTCTGCTGCTGTCAGGCCACTGGCATTTCTCAGGCTGTGTGACACAAAAACACCGAATTACACCCCGCCGAGTGCTCACCTGCTCTCTGCTCCTGCTGACCTGACTGACTATCTCAAGGGGGCGGCAGGAGAATACAGATGTACGGTGAGTCTCCCTTACGGGGGAGCTCTCGTCCTGCTGCGTAACTAACTTGGCTCTTGCGCACATCTGATTACTAAGCGAGATTCGGGAGATAGGCATTTAAAAATCAACACACTAAACTTTAAAAAAGGCATCTTCCTATTTAACTTCTCAAAATCATTTTTTAGGTCAGTCTGAAGAACCTAAATTTATGCTAACTTCAGACTTAACCTGAAACTGAATTCTATATTATCTGCATAATTGTAATAATCCATTCCTTTAGCTTGAGTAAAATCATAACAAACAAACATGTACTGAAATTGTCCATGGCATTTGTAACGATCGGCTTCCTCAAAAGAGCGCCCCGACAAGCCAGATTTGATGCTAGCACGTGACACTGTAAGTGGAGGTCTAGAAGGATGTCCTGACATCAGAGGAACTTATCGTCGGGGGTGTTCTGAGAAGCTAAGTTTCTGTGTGTGTTTGACGTGGCTTTCTGGCCTGCTTAGGAAAGCCTGCAGTGGTAGGACACTGCATTCGAGAGCACTTGCATGGGGGTTTCCTGGGAGCCCATCCCCGGGGCGGGGGGGAGTTCTATCACCTTAAGAGTCCACACCACAGCAGCTCGCGTGACTGGCCAGGCCAAGAGATGAAGGTCGGGGTCTCCTACAGCAGCCAAGACACAGACTAACGTAGGAGGTGCCAGAAGAATGTGACGTGAACCATCTCAATCACACGGATATGAAAGAACCACCTGTAAACCTCAACTAGGAAATAATAAATACTAAAGGAACAAAAGCAACTCCCTGAAATTCCCCTGAAAGACAAGAAAAATATCCTGCCCCATGAAGTCAAGCTGCAAACCAGTGAGACAGGCTGAGGAACTGAGAACGTGAGCACCAGACGGGGGCCGGCTCTCGTGCCTGCTCTGCCGAGCGAGGCCACTGGCCTTACAGCGTCACCGCATAATAACCAACACAGAACACGTGATGCTTGCTTCCAGGGTTAACGTTAACGCAAAAATCCACTTCAGAGTAACAATGAAACATCAGGGACAGACAGGGGTTCCTCTGTAAAGAGAACAATAAGCCTTTCCAGCCATCATACTCCTAAAGCTCTAACCTCAGAAATGAAAAACCTGTATATTTCTGGACAATCGCTAAACACGTCTCCACTCTTTAAAGCCCAGGATAAAGAAATGCATATGTTTCGAAGAAAGCTGAAAGCCCAAACTCAGCTGGGTTAGATACAAAACAGACAAAACCTGAGAATCCCAGAAACCAACAAGTTTCTTAAGAACATAAGGCAGCTGTGTGCAGAACTAATGGGGACCCAACCTGCCATTTCGATTTCATGGCTATGAATTCTGATGAGTATTCTTCTACAGTTGGGTATGAATTAAATGGAAAGGAAATGCCAACGTTTGGGCAGCGTGAACTACCTTAATTACATGTATATAAAATGATCATACACTTAGTTTCTGAAATCTACTACTGATATGACAACAGTAAAGTAAGTGTTTAATTGGGTGTTTTTTAATTTTCAGGGACTGCCCCAAGTGCCGTCATTCAGAAAGGTCTACTCTATCAAGAATATGAACAGAGTGGACGCCTGGGTGGCTCAGTCATTGGGTGTCTGCCTTCAGCTCGGGTCATGATCCCAGAGTGCTGGGATCGAGCCCCGCATCGGGCTCCCTGCTCGGCCAGGAGCCTACTTCTCCCTCTCCCACTCCCCTGCTTGTGTTCCCTCTCTCGCTGTCTCTGTGTGTCAAATAAATAAATAAATAATCTTAAAAAAAAAATAATGTGAACAGAGTAATAGGTAGCCACATGAAAAAAAAAACACATCTGATTCTTCAAAATTTGGAAAAATGAAGACCTAGAACATATGCAAAGTTTATAAAATGATCACTTCTATACAGAAATACAGAGCTGCTCTCCAAAATCAGAGAACACAGAACTAAGCTGACGGTAAAGAGGACTCTTTAAATCAGAGAATGATGAAGAACAGCACACGCATTTTTAGACGGCATTCACCATCATCAACTTCACTGAGGAAAACAGAGAAGCTTATGGAGCAGCCAACATTCTCAAGTCACGAAAGAGAAGAATTTCCGAAACATACTCAGTGCCTTCACTTTCCATTCAGAAACAGAACATCAGACTAGATTTAGGTTAGAACAGCAAGTTTACTGTTTTCCCAAGGAAATATAGCGTTAGAGAAAAATAAGCAACAAATCGGGGCCGACATCTGGAGATTCTGGAGACGGCCAGCGCTTGAGTGGGGGTGCGTGCTGAGACCTGAGACCAGAAGGCAAGGTCTCCCCATAACAACGCAGTCGAACACTCGCACCTTATTATCTTCAAAACTAAACAGAAGAACTGTGGCCAACTCATGCTACATGCTCCCCACGTGCGGACCAAACAGGGAAGAAGGATCAGTCACAGCTCAGACTGAATGGATGCTGGTTCCACACATACCTTTGCAGGACGAGAAGTCAGAGGGATCCAAAAGGGAGATCCAAAAGGGATCCAAAAGGGAGATCACTCTAGAAGATGTACGGGCAAAATCTGGGACATAAGATGACCGTGGAAGAATTAACTGGGAGCTAATAACTTTGGCACTGTCCCTACAGGATTATCAGTAATGGGGACACATGCTATCTTCTCTCTGCTTCCAGTAAGCTACAGATTTTGACACGAGCAGACCCTTGAACAAGGAGGGGCTGGGGATACCAACCCTTGTGCAGTCGTAAACCCACAGGTAACTTCTGACTCCCCAAAACTTTACCACTGAGAGCCTACCGTTGTCCAGAAGAAGCTTTACCGGTAACACAGAGCTGATTAACACATATTTTGTATGTTATATGTATTATATACTATATTCTTACCATAAAGTAAGCCAGAGGGAGAAAAAAAGTGTTAAGGAAATCATAAGGAAAATACACTTACAGTATGTATGTATTTATAAAAAACAAAAACAACAAACCCACGTATGAATGGACATGCACAGTTCAGGCCCCCGTTGTTCAAGGGTCAACTGTATATTCCTTCTTTTGTCACTAAGCACTGAATGTACACAACATAGTTTATACTCCTCTCAAGCTGAAGGATCTCTGAATACCTGATTCACTCACACGCCAACAGGAACCCCACTCACGTACCTTCACCCCTCCATCGTCTACCCTGACAAACGTCCAACTCCCTAACTCTGCTTACACCGAAACACGGCCAAGTGGCTGGCTGCCCTACTGCAGAGCGCACGGACAGGAAAGCTGGGGTGCACTGATCCCGAGGCCGGCGCTATCTCCACGGAGGGCTAGACGCTACGGACTGCAGGCTCTCCAGGCCACACTCCCGCTCACGACTCAGGTCTGTCCTCTCGGCCTGAAAGTGGCCATGGACGATGTGTAAACCATACAGCATGGTGAGGTTCTACTGAAATTTCACTCATGGACGTTAAAATGAGAATTTCATGTAATTTTAACTTGTCATAAAATAATCATTCTTCTTTTGATTTTTGTTCAACCATTTAAAAGTGTACAAATCATTCTTAGGTTATAGGCCATACAAAAACCAGCAGCAGACTAGATCTGCTGAGTAACATGTAACCAGCAGATGATACTGCTAACTAGTCCTCTAGTTTTATAAAACGTATCTGTCCATGGGTTCCTCAAAGCTGTCTTTCCAGAAATTTTATGTACTGCTCAATTCAAACAACCAACTTTTAAAAAGTTGCCAAGTTGGTTAAATCACAGAATGTTAAGTACCAAGAAAAATATCTAGAGGGAAACTACAAGCCCCGAGAGCACGTGGAAAGAAACAAGACGGTCATCCCTATTCCGCTTGGGTGTTTTCTGTTAAAAGTTCTGGTGTCCTACAATCAGGCAATGTGCTTACAACGAGGGAGGTGAAAATGGCCTTTACAAGTCTAAATCCCTCAAGCCACTTTTTCACTTTCACAGAATCCCCTCTGTTCAATAAGCAGAGGGGACTTTCAAACATGCTACAGAGGCTGAAAATCACGTGGGTTTCCACGTCAAGGGCTAGAATAAAGAATCATTAAATGGAATTGTTCTCAAAACCTGAACCTTTAACAAAAGAGGCTCAGGTCTTTCAATCAATCCTTTTTCTGACTCATTCGAGCATGTTTCAATTTTGATGTTGTAAGAGCTGAAACAGTGATCCCGTTGAAAATGTACCAACAATTTATTAAATCTTTAAACTTTTGTGTTCCAAATTGAGATAGAAACTAAAACTAAGTTCCCTCCCTTAGCTTCCTGATAGTCAGGGGCTGTGACTGTGAACTGAAGGGGGCAGGACGGCTCCCCATCCCTATGCCGCACTGGGTGTGGAACAGTACTTTTTACTTTATTTATTTTAGAGAGAGGAAGACAGAGAGTGTGCATGAGCAGGGGGAGGGGCAGGAGAGAGAGAATCCCAAGCAGACCCCTCCCGCCACCACCACCACTGAGTGTGGAGCCCTTGTGGGTCCCGGAGCTCAATCTCATGACCTGAGCCACAGTACTTTTTAAAGAGCCGAGCCTTCACCCTTCAGTCTGCAGACGCTCACTTAGGGCGTGCAGGGCGTGGTGGCACCGCACTCATCGCTGAGCTCAGGTACGGTGCTGGGGCAAATGTCAATCTCAACTGCAGTCTACACACACTAGTCCAAAGGGAAAGTTCTGAAGTATCTAGAAGAAATTATTCAAAAATACTCTCAAAACCTGTATTTTACATGAAAACTGGGATAATGGCAGCATACACATTATTTTTAGCCCAATCTATTAAAAAAATGTATACTCTTGAATTTAGCATCTTCGGTGTGATGCACTTGGGTGAACGCAGACTATGTGTGAAATTCACCTCTGTCCATTTCGGAAGACGAGAACCTCGTGGACGCGCTGTGAGGTC